AAACTCCTTCTACGACGGTTATTTCTTCACCGTAAAACTTCCTACTGAATCGGCACTGGTATTACAGAGGGGGGAGCTGGAGAAACACACGTTCTTTGTACAACAGAAACGTTAGAAAAGGACACAAAACGTACCGACGAGCACTAACTTTGGCTTGGTTTTCCCTCCTGGTTTTTGTTTTGTTTTATTTTTATTTATTTCCTGCAACCAGGGATTTGAGGCATCCCCCGGCTTCTCTTTGGATGCTGAGTTTGTCTCAGTTTCCTCAGCCCTGAGGAAATCCCTTTACTATGGCAATTGAAACCTGAGACCATGGCGATATTGTCCTGAAGAAAATAAATTTCCAGCTGGCAAATTATGGCCAGGTTGGCTTGTCAGACTGAATCGGGCAGTTTGTTTTGCTTTTGATCCGGGCACTTTATTCCAGTTGCCCTCAGTTCATATTTGAGTCACTTCACAAAAAAAAAAAAAAAAAAACTTTTAAATTCATCCAAAAGCATCCGTGTGGATGGCTTGGTCTGGCAGGAGCTGGCACCCCAGCAGAGGGTTTGCGAGCCAGAGACGTCCACTGCGAGTGAGGTTGCAAATTTGGGGCAGTTTCCTTGGGTTTTAGTGATGGGAGAGGTTTGACACTCAGACGTGGGACTCGCAGCCCCGTCAGGGCCAAGTGTTTCTAACCAACGGGTTTGGCATGGGCGGCCAAAGTGTCACAGGGGTTGTTCCTCCGAAGGGATCTTTGCTCTTTTGCTGCACGAGGGCAGGAGGCATCAAATCTCCCATCCTGGAGATTCAACCTGTGCTGCTTTATCACCCAAAGCACACGGGGCGAAATTCCCAAAAGCTTTTGAAGGATCTGGGTGCTCGAATCCTGTTGACGCAGGCTCCAATCCCTTGGCAAGTGCTGAGCTCTCCCTCCTGACAGCCAGCAACTCCGCCGGGAGCAGCCACATCCTTCCATGTTCCTCAAAGTTTCTCATGGACCTGCTGCAGTGATTTTGGGGGGATGTGCATATTTCTCTGCCTCCCCATTGAGTCTTTAAGGCCAGAAACGAAGTGGGACCAAAGGCTTGGGCTGCCAAACGAAGGCTCGCCTTGCAGGCAGAAAGGCTGTGAGGAAGAGCAGAGGAGCCAGGGCGGGCACCGTCCCCCCGTGTCACACGTAGAAACCTCAAGCAGTTAGTAAAACAACGTGATATTATTTACAAGTCTTGCTTATCTCCTTAAGGAGGGGAGGAAGAAGAGTTTCTGGCTGAATCCAGAGGTGAAGGGGGAGTCTGTAGGCGCAGACATACCGGCACTGGTGCCATGCACCAGCTCGCCTTGCAGTCCTTCCTCTGCAAAAATCTTGTGATGCTCCAGGCGAGTGAGACATCAAAGCAGTAGCTGGGTGGGGGGCATCCCCCAGGACCACCCTGGCTGCTCGCTGGCAGCTCGTGGGGGGATCAGGGTGCTCACCCACCCGGCGGCTGCTCTCCAGCATCACCCGTGAGTGAGCTGGGTGCTGGGCGGGGAGCTGATATGCCAAGAAAATGCACTTATATCTCTGGAGGCGTAGAGGTGGTGAGTGATGTCCCTTTCCCCGGGGCAGCGGCGGGGTCCTGGCAGAGGGAGGTGTTGGGGCCACCCAAGGGTGCCCTGGGGAGGCAGTCGGTGCACTGAGGGGGGGCAGCACCCGCTGTGCACCCGGACGGAGGTGAAGGACCCGCAGGGGAGCGGGCAGGGGCATTTCTGAGCCCCCCTTCACAGTGCTGGAGGAGAAGGAGCCCTTACAAGCAGGGGGTTGGGACCACCAGCCCCGGGGGGGGGGTCTGCAGGCGAGCAGGGACAGTGCAAAGGTGTCAGGGTGGCTTTGCTCCTGGGTCGGTGCAGGGTGGGGATGCCGGGGCTGGTGCCAGGGGAAGGATGAGCAGAGCCCTTTTGTCGTGTCCCCACTGTGGGCAGGCACTTTTTCAGCCCTTTAGACCTTCAGTGTCCCCCCCACCCGTGTAGCTCCAGCGTCCCCAGGTGAGCTGGGCACTGGCAGGGAGATCGTGGCACCCAGACGTCTGATCCTCAACGTTCGGGTGGTCCCGGCTGCTCCTCACTGAGACCAAACGCTGGCAGCCCTGGGGAGCGTGCGCGGGGGCTGCGCCCCCCGAATTTCACAGTGTAGGTTGAGCTGCTGGAAGCCAAGCCCTTACCCCCAGCCCACTTGTCATGGCACGGCCTGGCCGTGGGACCAGCCCCCTCCCCAAATCCTGGTACAGCAGCTCCAGTGCTCTTCACGCCCAGCCCAGCCCTGCCCTTCATCTGCGTTTTGGGGAAAGCAGCTGGATTTCAGGGCATTAGAGGGGAGCAGGAGATAGAGGCAGGGTGGGCCAAGGAGGAAGGGCAGGAGGAAGAGGAGAACTGGAGCCCCAAGGAGGAAGGAGAAGGGCTGGAAGGTGGGGCAGGGCTGAGAGCGCGGGGCTCATTCCTGTGTCCGTCTGTCCAGCCTCACGGGGCTGCAGAGGATGCGCCGGCAGCAGACGGGCTTTGGGTGTTGAGTCCCAACACCCGACCCGCTTACGGGCTGCCAGGGGGAGTTGGCGTTGGGAGGGGGCGATACCGAAAACAGGAGCTCAGTGCATAGAGGACCGTAAATTGGGGGGGCCCGGGGAGCCCCCACTTCCTTCCCACCCTCCCCTCCTGGGCTCTTGGTGCCAGGGAGGGGAGAGGTAAAGGGAAGAAGGGGGAAGGGGACCCCACGGGGCTGCCCCGGGCCACCCTTCAGACAGGGGAGGTGGCGGTGGACTCGCTGTACAAGCTCTCGGCGATGTCCCCGCGCTGGATCTTGCGCAGGGCGGTGAGCAGGGCGTCGAGGGTGGCCGTCTCCTTGGAGGACCAGTCGGCCAGGAGAGCCCGGGCAGGCGATTCCTCCCGGGTGAAGGAGTCTATGAGATCCTCTTTGTAGCCCAACTCCTCAGCCAGCTGCCTCCACGTCTCCTCCACAGAGCTTCCCAGCAGCTTCTCCACCTCCTCCTGCTTGCTGGGTGGGAGGTTGGTGTAGAGGTTCCCATCTCCTTTGGGGGCTGGGAAGGAGGAAGGAGCGTTAAGCCCATCCCTGGGGTGCCCTTGCCCACCCTGTAGCCCCCACTTCACCCTACCTGGCCCCTGGGTGCTCTGGCTGGGCGGCTGCTGGTCGTGCAGGCTCTGGCTGTCCACCGAGATGCCGCTGTCGCTGTGCAGCTTCTCCCCCTCCGGCGAAGGCGTCTGGTTCACCGGGCGGTTGTTGGCCCCTTGCTTGTTCTGTTTGCAGTTGTTCCACCTGCAGGGAGAGGAGCGGGGAGGTGACATCCCCCAGGCTGGGAGCACATTTGTTGCTTTGTCCCTCTTTTTTGGGACCACTTCTCCCAGGGAGAAGCGTTTCTCCTGCAGCCTCAAAGCTCTCCAGGATGGCGCTGGATCGGTTTAAACTGGCATTTACAGCTGCCAAGTGGGTGCTGAGCTCCTGAGCTTTGCGAGGGATCAGGGCAGGGTTTCCTTCTGCGTGGATCTGCTGCAAAAATGCGGCTGTGCTGCCGGAGCACACCGGAGTCCCGGGGCTGCCTGTGGGTCCCCCCATGCCTGTGGGTCTCCCCCCACCCCCAGGGTGCTGGGGAGCTGCTGAGCCAGCCCTGGCTTGCCCAGGCAGATGCAAACCCAGCACACCAGGGATGAGCTGCTGAGCGTGATCGGCCGTGACGGCTGCCTGCACCGTGCCAGAACAAGCAGGAGCCAGGCGGGGGGCGGGTTGCAACGAGGGTTCCCCCACCCTGCACCCCCACCCTGCTGCCATCTCCCTTTTGCCCCTCAACAGCCCGATTTCTCATGCTTTTTTGGAAATCCACCTCCTACCCACCCAGCCTGGTCCCCTCCCTCCCTTGTTGGTGACTGCGGGACCTCCAAGGAGAGGGACACAGCCTGTTTCCCACCACCCCAACCCTCTGCCATGACCCCACGGTGCTGCCACGGGCCTCTACCTTTTGAAAGCGATGTAGGCTACCAGCCCCACCACCACGGCCGCCAGGATGGAGCAGTAGACCGGGATGAGGTTGTCGGCAGTGCCGCGGCTCACAACGGGCTGCGAGCTGCCCATGATGGTGGTGACGGTGTCTGCCAGGGTGCTGGGCATCACTTCAGTGTTGAAGGGGTCCCTGGTGATGGGCTCGGGGCTGTCAGAGCCTCCCAGGGATGGCGTGTGTGTTGTCCAACGAGGGTGGAGGTCTGCCAGGCAGGAGGAGAAAAGAGAATAATTAGTCACGCAGCCGGCCATGCCTTGTGGGGGGTGAATCGGTGAAGGGACAATGATCTTGGCAGGGATCTTCTTCCAGAGGTGCCAGCTCTGCCCCATCCCCTTGTCCCCAGACTTGGCCTTAGGGTCAGTGTGAGGTTAATAGTTGGACTAGATGATCTTAAGGTCTTTATCCAACTGAGATGATTCTGTGAAATCACCATGTTCCCTGGCCCCGGGTAGCACCAGCCTCCCTGGTCCCCAGGACAAGGGGGAGCTGTCCCTCGCCCTGAGTGGCTGATGGTGCCTGGTTGTGGCTGGACATGGACATGACTTTGAAAGCTCCTCTTTGCCAGCGTTGGGTTTGCTCAAGTCCTGCAGCTCTTCCCACCATGTGCAAGCTGCAGACTGAGCCCTGGGCTCCCATCGCTGGTACTGAAGCCCGGGGAAGCAGCTCCAGCTGCCTCCCATCCACCTTACACCCGTGTAAGGCAACCCAGCTGCCTCCGCAGCTCGGAGCCGGGCTCACCCGCTGCCAGCACCACCAGAGTCTGGATTTGCCCCTTTCGTGGCCCCTGCCTGTAGCCCTGCACCCCACCAGCCCAGCCCCGTTTGGGAGTGACCCCGTTCCCACCGCACCCAGGCATGTCCCGCCGCGCGACTGGATCCGTCTTGTCTTGCCCCAGGGAAACGCTCTCACCTGCGGCTGCCCCATCCCCTCCCCTGGGTGCCGGCTCCCTCCCAAACCCCCCGCACCCCTCTCCAGGGTCCAGAGGACCAAGCGGGTGCCACAGCAGGTTGCTGGCACCTCACCTCGCCCGCCCTCCGGCTGGACCCCGCTGCCCTTTTGGAGCGGCGCTTTGGTGGCCACTGTGGCCGTTTCCGGCAGGGCCCCGCTGCCGGCTAACAAAGCTGGCCCTGTGCTCCTTGACTTATGGCTCCATTTACTCAACCCTTTCAAGGGAGCTACACTGGCTGCCCCCGCGCTGTGAATCAGCGGCGGCCGGGACAAAGCTCTTTTCTCCCCCATCGGGCTTGGGGCAGGGAATTGCGCTGCTGCTGCCAAGGAGCAACCGGGGTGCCCCCAGCTGAAGCAGTCACAGAATCACAGAATCAGATAGGTTGGAAAAAACCTTGAAGCTCCTCCAGCCCAACCATGAACCTCACACTGACCCTTCCCAACTCCCCCAGATCCCTCAGCGCTGGCTCAGCCCGACTCTTCAACCCCCCCAGGGATCCCGGGGACTCCCCCCTGCCCTGGGCAGCCCATTCCAACGCCCAACAGCCCCTTCTGCACAGAAATCCTTCCTAATATCTAGTCTAAACTTTCCCTGGTGCAACCTGCGGCCATTAGTTCTTGTCCTGTCACTTACTACTAGGTTAAAGAGGCTCATCCCCAGCTCTCTGCACCCTCCTGTCAGGGAGCTGTAGAGGGCGATGAGGTCTCCCCTCAGCCTCCTCTTCTCCAGACCTGGGGGGCTGTGCATGGCAGCGGGGTACAGGCTGGCACAGCTGCCCGTGAGTGATGCTCTCCCCCTTCCCTTGGGCACCAAACCCTCCTGGGCTGTCCCCCGGCTCTTCGGGGCAGTTCATTCCCGTCAGAAACCCATCAGCTGCCAAGTCCTCTCCTGATGAAGGCTAAGGCAGCAGTGAGTGTGGGATCTGAGACTGGTGAACCTCTTGGCTCTGCTTGCTGCTCTTTGACACCAAAAGCCACCCAGCAGAGTGTCTGCACCCGCAGACCCAGGAAGCCCCTAGAAAGGGCTGGGCAGACCCTGGGGCTGGGCATTTTCCAGGCTCAGGAAGCTGCATGCTGCAATGCCTGAGGGCTGGAGGTCTCAACTGGACGCTGGGGTCTTCTCCTCCAAGCCCAGGGACATGCCCCGGCCTCCCCATTGCTGTGGTGCAAAAAGAAACCGAGGCAGGGAGTGCTACGGGAGACCCGGCAAACCCCACTTTCCCCGCTGCAATGGGTCTCTGCGAATAAAACCAGCGTTACCTCTGCATTCGGCATCCGAGATGGCCGTGCACTCCTTCACCATCACTTCATTCTCCTCGCAGGTGGTGCAGGGCAGGCAGGGGTCCACAAAGTTGGCTTCGCTGGAGAAGGTGCCCTCAGGACACTCCTCGCAGACCGTGTCCTGCGAGTCCTGGCAGGGGAACATGAGGCCGAAGCCCACCTCGCACACCCGGCACTCCTTGCAGCTCCCGCTCAGCTCGTCCTGGTAGTAGCCATAGGCGCAGCGGCAGACGGCGTCGTCCGACTCCACGCAGGGCGCAGACATGCTCTGCAGCCCCACGCACTGCGTGCAGGGCTTGCACGGCTCCGTGGCGCTCACCGTGTCCGAGTAGGTGACACCTGGCAGGGGACAGAGGGTGAGGTCAGCAGGGTCCCAGCATGATGTCCTTGTCCCTGTGGCCACTTTGCTCCCCGGCGCTGGCTTTGTCCCATCCCCAAATGCTGCTGGGCCAGGGAGATGGGCTTGTGCAGTGACTACTAGCTGGGACCGTGTCCCCTTTCACCATTTTTCCCCTCCTCCAGGTCAGAGGGAGAGGTGTCCCCCCCTCTGCAGCCCCTCCCCACCACCGAGTATCCCCCAACCCACAAGTCTACTCTTCCCATTTACAGCTACCCCCTTGCTGGAGCAATTCCGGGGTGCTGCCCTCCATGTGCCCATCCCAGCGCTTGGTGTCCCCAAACAATCCTCCCTGCTCCCAGCCGGAGCACCAGCCCCATTTTTGACCTCTGGATGGTCCCCGTGGGCATCCCACAGCCACCGCTGCTCCCCAGCATCCCAAACGCTTTCTCCTCCGCATCCTGCCTGGGGGGTCCCTCGGGGCATCACCACCCTGCGCCCCCCTCCTCGGCCACGTGTCCCCAACGCGGGGCGTGATGCGAACAGGAGGTTACAACACTAATTGCTGACTCTCCTCTGACCCTGGGGCTTCTTGCTCTCCAGTTTCATCCTGCAGGACTGACTTTGCCAAGGAAATCAATCCTCCCGCAGCCCGGCAAGCCGCCCCCACGTTCCCTCCCTCCTCCTGCCCGCTCCCAAAGGTGTTTGAAGATATTTTTAGCCCGGGAAGACGGGTCAGCACCCATCCTGGAGGGCACAGCTGCTGTCCCTGCGTCGGCTGCCTCCCACTGATCCCTCCAGAGCCCGTGTTACCGCAACACCCCGCCTTCCCTTGTCCGAAATGCCGGGGGAAAGTCCAGCCTCCTCCTTGATGGAGAAGGTGTTGGGGAGCTCAACCGCAATCCCCCTGCTAGCCCTGCTCCTCGGGAAGGAATCCAGCCACATGCTAATCTTTAATTACCTGCTTGTCTCCCGAGGATGACCGTGGGAAACAGCAATTCCCACCCTCAGTGACCTCCAGCCTCCCCAGGTGGCCAAGGAGAGACGGAGCGATGGACAGGCTCAGGGCAGAGCTTCATTTTTGGCCGTTTTCAAGATAGAGGGGAAAAAAGAGCCCCAAGACCCTGGTGATGGGCAGATTCAGCACCTCCTGCACCGGAGGAGGGGGACGGAGGTGCCATCCCCGGCTCAGTGACTGCTTTCCCACCATGGCTCAGCCGCAGCAAACCCTGAGCAGTGACAGCCGTGACATTGCCACCCCCAACACCTCCCCTCGCCCCCTGCCTGTGTCTGGGGGTCCTGCTCCTCTCTCAGGGCCAGCCCTGTGCCCTCCCTACAACTGCAGGACCCTGGGGACGGACCTGCTCCGCTGCTGCTGGCCCTGAGCCACTGCCTCGGCTCTGTCCCGGGGTGGGCAAGCAGCCCCTGCCCCACTGCTTGCCCCGCTGCCCAGCCAAGCGAGCAGAGCCAGAGCAGCACCGGGTCGACCGCCGGCGTGCACAGCTCCCATTAACCTGGGCTCATCCTTTGCATTATTCTGAATTATTGATAGGCACCATTAGAGCGGGGAAGTGGCCAGGAAAGGCATACGGCTGAGTGGGCACATTTTCAGTGGCAGCAAGGTATCTGAGCTGAGCAATTACAGCTGAGATTCAAACAGGGCCCCCTCCCTCCCGCCCGCGGCGATGGAGGCTGGCGAAGGGGATAAATAAATCATGAGGTAGCAATCAGGGGTGGCTGGCAAGGGGAGGACGGGAGAAGGAAAATTATAATATATTTAAAAAAAAAAAAAAGAAAGAAAGAAAAAAAAAAAAGCATGTGGCCATTTGGGCTAATGCAGGGACCCTCTCCGCCAGCGCCCCGGCACCCGCTGGCTTTGGCTGGGGTGGTGCTTTGGTTGTAGCAAATTTTTGTGAAATAATTTGGCTGGTGAATCGGGAGGAGATCCAAGGTGAGAGCTTGGAGGCAGCCCGGGGTGGAGGTGTGGATCTCGGCGGCCCAGGGCTGTGCCCACATTCCTCCCCGCGGCTCAGCCTCGGCTGCCAGCGCCCGCAGGATCCAGCATGAGCCCGGGTCCAAAAGGACCCTCTCCCCATCCCGGCGAGGGCTGATGATGGGGTTTGTAGGTCTCCTTCTCTCCACACCCCAAAATCCCACTCTTGACCCAGAGGAGAGCCAGGGGAACGTTTACCCCTTTGTACTACCCGCACCCATAAACCGCCCCATGGCCACCCCCACCCAGCAGCTCCCAGCTGAGGAGCTGCTGGAGATTAGTTGGTGCTAATGAAAGATTAAAAAGGCTGCAGCTGGGGCAGGGCTGGGGTGTAAAGCAGGAGGGTTTGCAGGGGATTTGTCTTGGTTGTGGCTCCTCAGTTTGTCTGTTGCTTCTCCCTTTGAGGTAGTTGAGGGGGGTGTCGTTCCTTAGTGCTGCTTCTTTTTGGGGTGGTAGGGGCCCGATCCTGCCCTGAGGTGTACACCACGCTGCTGTGCAGTGGGGTAAGCGAGGGAGATCCCATGTGATAGATATTCCCAAGTGAGGGGTGGCAGGGCTGGGAGCTGCTGGGATGCAGATAAAGGGGTGCAGGGGGGAGAACTGGCAGCTGCCTGGAGGCCAGGAGCTCTCGGCCTTGCTGGTCCGTCAGCAGCAAAGCTAAGGAGGGCACAAAGCCCTGCTCTGGGGTGTTGCTCTCGGCCTGGGTGCGATGCTGAGAGGCCTTGGGGCCGCAGGTCACTCCTGGCTGCTCCCATCCTGCAGGGATGGAGGGAGGGCCCATTCCCTTTTGTCCTGGTGCTTTCCAGCTCAGCTCCCTAACCCAACAGAGCTGCTGCCTGATATTCATCTCCCTTCAAAAATGCAAAAGCCTGGCCTGGGGCGATGTGGGGCTGGGGTGTAAACTGGAGCAGTGGCCCTTGCACCCACGCCCCAGCTGATACACAGACCTCCAGCACCGCACTGAGGTCACAGTCCTGGTCTCTCCGTAACCTCCACACCCCCTGTTCTCCAGGGAGGGTGGAAATTCCCTTTATCCCTTCAGTTTCCAAAAAGAAATCGGGAAGACCAGTCACCTGCCAGCCTGGAAGTGCAGCTAAAGGGAAATGTGTTCATCTGAGCATCCCCAGGAATGCAAAGTGACCCTCGGGATTTACAGTCCTGCACACCCAGGGGCTGGAGCCCCCCACCCTGGGCAGGGTCCCTGCAGGAAGGGCTCAGGGGGATGGATGGCACCTCGCAGCAAGGTGGGGCTGAGCCTGTTACAGCCCGGGAGGGAGCGAGCCCCCCTCCCCGTGCCCGGCGGCGTTACCCTGTGCAGCAGCCCCAAGGTTGCAGGCGGTGGGATTCAGCCCCTGCTGCCAGGCGCAGGGAAGGTAAGCGCTGTTCATCGATTTTGTAGGAAAGCAAGAGGTATTTTTAGCACTGCCCTGCTGTTGCTCCATCCCCTGCTCCGTGCTCGCTCTGCTTACGCTGCTTCTCCCCCTCACCCCACTCTAAACTTTACCTCCTCTCTGCTCCCCCACGGCCACCCTCTTTTCCTTCCCCCCACCCTCTCAAGTCACATCCCTGGAGCAATCTGGGCTTGGCTGGCACAGCTTTTCCTACAAATACTTGTCCTCAGGCCTTCAAAGGGTTTGCAGCAGTAAATTTGAAGGGCAGATTGCTTATGCCTATCATGGCATTGTTTAAACAGTAATAGCTGGACCATTTCATCTGTAAGCATTTAAGCAGGTCTCCAGCACACATCTCTGACCGACATTTATGAAGCATTTGACATAGGCAATGTGCCTGGAGTTGGCCAGGAGAAAACTGTTCCCCTCTCTCTTGGGGGACTTAAGTGATTTGCTTCTTGCCTCTCGAACTTGCTTTTATTTTGCAGTCTTTACAAGGTTTAAAAAAAATAAAAATAGAGGTGGCTCATTGGGAGACATCCCTGTGTCTGGATCAGAGACTGATGTGCAATCGGTGTTGGGAGGGGGATTTTTTGGAGGTAAATGCTGACCACGAGCCTGTAGCCAGGGAAGGGAACGGTGCTGGAAGGGGGATCTGCAGATCTGCAAAGGTGACTGGTACCAGCGGGTCCTAAAATGGGGTGATGCTGCATCCATGGCTGGGGATTGCGGGGCAGATGCTTTGGGGAGATGCTGGTGGCGGTGCAGTTGGGTGGCCTGGGGTGGAGCTGATCTCTGCAAGGGCTGTGCACAGACAGATTGAAACCAACAGCACAAATTGTGCCCGGGCAAGACTTCGGGAGGTAAAGAGGATGCGCTTGGGGAAACCCAAGTACCTGCGAATGTCCATGGTCCCCCGAAGCCCCCCCAGGCCCTGTGGCAGCCCCTTTGTGGGGTTCTGAGGAGGGGAGCGGGTACTCACTGTCCAGGCAGGGCTCGCAGACCGTCTGGTTGACCCCGCAGGGCTGCGCCACCCCCTCGCCCAGGTTGCAGGCTTTGCAGCACTCCCCGCTTGTCGTGTACATCTTGGTGAAACACTTGTCCTTGGAGCCCCAGGTGGGTCCCTGAGGGAGAAAACAAAGCCGGGAGGTGACCCTTGTCACGGGACCCTCCCTGCAAGGGCAGGCGGAGAAATGCATTGCACCCACGTAGGGTCCTGCTCCGGGGTGGACACCCCATGTGGGTGCTAAAAGGGACTCAAATTAAATACAGGTTTTGGGAGAAATTACTTTTCTATGCAAAAACTGCTCATCAGGAAAGGCCCTGCCAAGTGCTGCTGCTGGAGGGAAGTTAGGAAAGCCCATGTACCCACGGTTGTGGCTGATGGGTATTGGGGGGGGGGGAATGTGGGTTTTTCTGCAGAGTTACAGCATTGTTTGCTCTTGTCTCTCACCATCCTCAAGGAAGCTTTGCCATCCTGATGGGCTCAGCCCTTCCCAGCCCGGGGGAAGGCAGGGCGCTGCCTGCCGCGATGGAGGGTTTGGCGAGAGCTGGGCTGGCAGCTCTGCACAGCTCTTGCTGCACGTTGGGGACCAGGAATCAGACCCCGCGATGGAAATGAAGATTTTGAAGGAAGCACTGAGAGCTTCAGCCCTGGTACTGTCTAATGGAAGTAAGTGTATCTGCTGATAAAACCTGTCCTCACATATGAAAGCACTAAACCTGCCACGAGCGGTGGGGGCAGAGCCACCCTGCACACACACACACCTGGCTGCCTGGGGAGCGGGGTGTGTTTGCAGGACGGTCGCTCCCCAAAACACCCCTTAGCTGGGGCCGTGGGGTGCAGGAAGCATCTCCGCCTGGGTGCAGGGCTGTCGGGATGCTCATGGTGATCTGAGCTCTGCCAGGGCTTCTTTTGCTCCTTCTGCTCGCAGGCAGGTGTGTTCCAGGCCTGGACCATCCCTCTGCCATCCAACTAAGCTTGAGGGTTTGGTGGTTGTTTGGTTTTTTTTTTTTTTTTT